AGCAAAATAAATACGAGAGCCACCTCAACACACATACAGAAGAGTCGTCGAAGAAAGCGGAGCATCAGAGATCGCCTTGTCACGTTTGTCATCGTACGGATCATCGGCTGAGGAATTGCGACGAGTTTCGGAAGACCGCAAATTGAGCTCGAGGAATAAAAAATATAATGTGATTAAAGACAAATGTTTCATATGTATGAAACGATGGGGGCATAAATTTACCCAGTTCTCCTACTGGGTAAATTTTTACCCCAGACGTTGAGTTCGGAAACAGTAAGAAAATAATTTCTAAAATTGCCATGCCAAAGACCTCTTCTCGTAACATGCAGTATATCGAGGTAAGAAACTGATCATGAACTTATTGAAAAGTTTAAGCGATTAAGCAAGCCTTTTTTGTAGAATTATATCGAGATTGTTGCAGTTTCCTTAACACATCGCTATCAATCATAGTAACATCCCGTTTACTGCTTGATCTGACTACCTGGCGCTTAACCACTTTTAAAATTTATGAATTTTTCGAAAAATGGAGTGGCTTCTCGTTTTTGGCAACATGCGATTTCCGCCTTTGCTGCATTATATCAAATGTATCGAACGATTTATTCAATTTGAGATTGTACAGAAGGAACTAGTACATGTCTGAGGAAAATAAGTAACAGCTGATGATGTCGTGTTTCCAAGAACTGGTAGGCACACCTGGATTTTTTTTTAAGAAAATGACTGGAAAATCAGGGAATTTGGTTTTCTTTATTGATTCGACACTCTAATTGAAATCTATATGTATACTGGGTTGTATAGCATGAAGAAAGCTGTAACATCGTGTGACACGATGCCAATCACATCATCGCGTTTGACATACGAGTAGCTCTCTCTTTTGGTTTAACCGGTGATTGTTCAGTTGTTATGTTAGTTACGTTTTCAATTGAAAAGTAGAGCCTTGTTGTAAGCCATTGGTTTAGACTACTTTTACGATTTTATGTAGTGTAGGGTCACCAAAAACAATTATTTCTTTTTCGATTTTGAATTTGTGTTAACATTCCTATAATGTCAATGTGAGCTGAAGACCTGTTCAAAAGAATCGACTCCCTTTAGTGAGTTGGACGGGTCTGATCTGCTCTGCCAGATGAGCTGTTTTGCCCAGCTCTACAAGTTTCGTAGAACCTATACAACTCAAGGAACAGAACACTCTTTACACAACTGGGAGAATTTACGTAGTTTCGTCAATCTAAGCGCTTAAAGGGTGATACGGTCAAAATTTGGTCAAGGGAAAACGCGTGTAAATCGGTGAAATCGTTTATTTAAAAAATCAAATTAAATATCTTTTTCAAGTTCAATTAGTATAAAATTCAGGAAAAATATTCAGTTAGGCTTCCGCTTTTCCAAATCCGAATTGCCGGGCCTTACGCTTGACCCCTACCATCAGATTTTGTACAGCCACCTTGTCCACCTTCTTCGCCGCAGAAAGCCAGTTTGCCTTGAACTGCTGCTCGCCCTTAGCAGTTTTTTTGGTCTTCTTTAGGTTCCGCTTGACAATAGCCCAGTATTTCTCAATTGGGCGGAGCTCTGGCGTGTTGGGAGGGTTCTTGTCCTTGGGAACCACCTGCACGTTGTTGGCGGCGTACCACTCCATGGCCTTTTTACCGTAATGGCAAGATGCCAAATCCGGCCAAAACAGTACGGAACAACCGTGTTTCTTCAGGAAAGGCAGCAGACGTTTATTCAAACACTCTTTCACGTAAATTTCTTGGTTGACAGTCCCGGAAGCTATGAAAATACTGCATTTCAAGCCACAGGTACAGATGGCTTGCCAAACCAGATATTTCTTTGCGAACTTTGACAGTTTCATGTGCTTGAAAACATCTGCTACCTTTCCCCTTCCTTTTGCCGTATAAAACTCCTGTCCCGGAAGCTGCTTGTAGTCGGCTTTGACGTAGGTTTCGTCGTCCATTACCACGCAGTCAAACTTCGTCAGCATCGTCGTGTACAGCCTCCGGGATCGCACTTTGGCCGTCGTATTTTGTTTATCATCGCGATTTGGAGTCACTACCTTCTTGTAAGTCGATAGTCCGGCTCGTTTTTTGGCTCGATGCACGGTTGTAGACGATACACCCAGCTTATTTGCGGCATCTCGGAGAGAGAGGTTAGGGTTTCGCTTGAAACTACCGGCAACTCTCTTTGTCGTCTCAGCGGCTTCCGGTTTTCGATTTCCCCCCGATCCAGACTTCCTGGCTGTCGACAAACGTTCCCCAGACACTTTAATTACATTTGTAACGGTTGATTTGGCAACTTTTAGCGATTTTGCCAACTTTGCGTGCGAGTAGCTCGGATTTTCGCGATGCGCGAGCAAAATTTTGATACGCTGCTCTTCTTGCTTGGACGGCATTTTGACAACTGAAGAGTGAATTCCAAAATCAAAATAGGAGCAACATTCTACACATACACACCTTCAAAATGAGGGGTGTTCAGGTTTTTTAAATGCAAAATTGAAAGAAATACGTCAAGTTGATATTGACCAAATTTTGACCGTATCACCCTTTATATTAGAATTTTATCAGTGTTTGCTTGTTTACATTCATCTGCTGCCTGCTTTTGTATCCATTCCAATCAAAAAAAAATGTTCATAGACGCCTCCAACTTCTGATGTAAGTGTGACTGTTGTCGGCAACCTCTTTTTCTCGGCAACCTTCCCATTTGAACTGCTTTTGAACCAGCTGTTCCATTTAATTTAATTTAAAGAAATACCTGGCATAACAGGTTTACTCAGTCATCAAAATGTAGTCAGATTGAATCTGAACGACTAAGGAATCGTTTAAATGCATTCAGCGAAGTGTTTTGTAATTACAGTTAAATTAATTTTCCAAGTTAGGTTGCCGAAAACAGTTAACGGATGTCGGAACCGTCATTTATTCTATCAAATATTCCCATGAAAACACTATCAAGATTTCTCTTTTTTTCGTTTTTTTTTTTCTGTTTGAAGCCATGCTTTCATCGATTTAATTGTTACGTGAATCGTTCGACTCTGCTCACGGGGGTTGCATCTTACCCAATTACGTTCACCTAACACGATGGCCACTTTTTCCGGTCTTAACAGTGGCACGTTAAATACGCCAACCTGCACACGCCCGTAAATGAGGCTACAACCATCAAAATACGCTGTTGGTTCACGGTTTTGTATACGCGAATGCAACAATACAACAACAACAACTAAAATACACTTTCAACCAAATGAAAAGCTTGATTTTTTTTTGTGTGCTCTTTCGTGAGGTCTTTTGTGGTAAATTTCATCTATATGTATGTTCGGTTTCGATGCACAAAGGTAGTGTGAAATCGGCGTCTGAGATCCCTGAACCAGTTTGCTTGACTCACGCTGATCAGCTGATGATCGCAGAAATAATGTTTTCTCCGACCGGTTCAATTTAAATGAAAAACTCATCTAGCGCTCCCTCTAGCTTTGCAATTATATGCTAATGAAGTGCTTTCCGTTATTTCTTTCGATTACAGAGTCATGAATTCAGCAAGGAACCTTCGCTTCAGTGGGTTCTCAACTCGATCGAGGGCAATTTATCGGCGGTAGCCGGCGAGCAGTACCACAAGATCCGCTCTGCACTCTGGTCCACGATCGAGGATGAGATTTCCCTCAACGACTGCGATATCTACAGCTACAATCCAGATCTGAACTCGGATCCATTCGGAGAGCCGGGCTGTCTGTGGTCGTTCAACTATTTCTTCTACAACAAGAAACTGAAGCGCATCGTCTTCTTCACCTGCCGGGCCATCAAGTAAGTACCTACACCGACAATGCATTACATACAAACTAATAATTAGCTTGTAAGGCCATCTTGTAATTCTTGGACATGGTTGATGTCTTGTCGTTTCTTCTGGCTGGTGACGATGAAGGCCGCCCGCAAGCCATACTCTTAGTGAGCGACGGAGCGAGTAGCAACCCATATGCGTCACATTTACATTTACATCGCCTATTCAACATAATGGCGGATGCCTATTTATGGTGCGCTTTACGTGGATCTTCCGAAATCGAAACCTTTATACTGTACCACATGTGTCTTTTTTCGAATGTTGAGCGGCTTGATTACATAACATATTTACCATTTCGGAACATTAATCAGTTTTGTTTGTCAATACTGTCGTAAAAACTATTGTTTTTAATAATCGAATTCATGCCTGCATTATAAAGGTAGCTCATTCTACTTAGCGCTCAACGAAGATAAAACAACACGCAAAAAAGTCTTAATTTCAAATCAACAGCATATAATAAATAACAAATAAAAGAGAACCACAACATTCACATAAAGCCATAAAATTAAGAGCGTCAGGCCGTTTGTGCTAGCTTTCTCTTTTCCTTCTCTCGCTCAACTGTATGTAGGTAAACAACAATATTCATTTCACGCACCATTTTCTTCACTGCGTTCGCTGGCCGGCTGGGCTGCTGAACTCTCGGTCGAAGTTCTAATTTTAAACCACTCAATCCATCATCCAGTTTGTTTATTTCCCTACTGTTTCACATACGCGCACAGTACTTACACAACTTGGCGATGATTGTTTGTCAGATTGTGTGTGACATTCTTCATAGTTCCAAATGTTGGTGTGCACTTGTTGTGGACAGAACCGAATGAGATTGCTGATGTTGCTATTATTACTGCTGACCACTGTCGTCAATCGTAAATTTTGTATAGATCTCTCGATTTGATGAACTTGAAAATATTTCAACTCTGAAGGAGATGCTTGATAGGTACATGTTGTAATCATTCCTTTGGTCGACCGACTTCATGACGTTCCGGCGTCTCTTCTAGGTTGTTTCTGTGTTACGATTGACGCAATGTGATACACACATACTATGGAAAGTAAGCATACAACCAAAAATGATACAAAAGCAAAGAGAATAGATGAATAAGAATGACATTTAACAATTTTGGTTTCTACCTTAAAAGAAAACCCATGTAAAGCTCCATATAAAAAAAAAAGATTTAAAAAAACATTAAATTGTAGAGTAAGGTGCAAATCAAGAAATCAGTGTCTCTTTATGAATATCTTGTCATGTTCAAAGTGGGAAGAAATTGATTTATTTCTTATTGCATTGCACATCTCTTATGTTACCCTAAGCGATCAATAATATACAATTGAGACCCAGCTGGACAAATAAGCGCGTTTTCACTTATTAAAAAGTTTGATAAAAGTGCACGTTTACGTTGTTGTCTTCGGTGCCCTTATTCATTATGAAGCAACGTAAAGGTGCACTTTTATCTTTTATTGTCGTGCTCAGTAGTTTTTACCGAAATCTCGACAGCTGAAGGTCCGGTAAAACTTTGAAATTCATTTTGGAGCCTATTCCGCTCAAAAATAATATCAAAGCTCGTTAAATCTTGTTCAAATGATCAAATCTTGTAATTGTAATGGATATTTCGTTTTAACACTCCGAACCCGATGCCTCCGGTAAAATGTGTAACGGCAAAATTGCAATGTTTCAAAAATCATATCTCTGCCATTTATTGACGAATTTCAAATCTATTGGTACCATTTGCAATTAACTACACACTTTAAAGATCTATTCAGTATCCATAGATTTAAAATCTTCTATAAATTGCTGACCAATGATTTCCCAAACATTATCAATTTGCCGTTATACATTTTACCGGAAACATCGACAATTAAATTGAATTGCACAACAACAACAATTAAATTGAATTGCACAAATGTTACCGAGCTGTTCAGATTTCGGTACAAATTACCGAAGCCGGTGGTAATGTGTTCGTTTCAAATTAATTTGCAATTAAAGTAGAACATTGTAATTTTTTCAACGATCATATATTATTTTTTGTTTGACAAAATATGATTCTGTCGCTGGTTGACTTAGTTGGTTCCTAGGGAAGCCTCGCTTTTAGAATATACATTGAATATGTATATATGAATATATATTTAATTTAAATCAAATGCATTTAATTTCCATCGTTTGCGTTCGTTATCAACCCATCAGTGGGATGTGAACATCAAAACAAAGCATGCGCTTTTCCGGTGACACCTATACATACATACATGCATCGAGGCGAAGATAAACAACCCTAACAGGAAAAGAAAACTCGGAGTAGAGAATTCATGAAAATCTTCTTGCAACCTTCTCCGGCAGCGAAAATCTCCAACGAAATCGTGCAGAAGCTCCCTCCGGAATTTCCACTGCTAATATCAAAATAACGTAAAACCTGCTCCGCAGAGAACGCGAGACAACTTCGTCGAAATTCCGTAGAACCTCCGTTGGCAGCATCGGAAATCTCCACCGGAATCATACGGAAGCTCCTTCACCTAAAAAAAACCCGAGAAAATACCGTACATATACACCGTGAATGCGAGAAAACTCCGACGAATCTGGAACATCCGCTGGCAGAATCAGAAACCTTCACCAAAATTGTGCAGAACCTCCACCACTGAGAACGTGTGAAAACTCCGTTAAAATTTCCTTAAACCTCCGCTGGCAGCATCATAAATCTCATCCGAAACCAAGATCGCAAGAAAACGACATCGAAATTTCGCATCTTTTAATGGCCATACTTTATGTAATTGTAATTTATTTATTTGTCAACATCAACAGACTCAATGTGGCTCCAATGTAATGTATGTAGTCAAACGTAATCCTATAGGACTATAGTGACTACCCTTTATCAGTACAAGACAAAGTTCCTAGAACCTTCGTTTACAGTCTTCGAAATCATGCAGAACCTACTCCACCTAGAAGGCAAGAAAAATCCGTTTGAACTTCCAGAAACTCCCGCTGGCAGCTTCCAAAATCACCGAAATCACGCAGAACCTCGTCCATCGATAACGTGATATTCCCTGGAACTTTCGTCTGCAGCATCCAATCTCTTCACTGGTATCATGCAGAACCTCTTTCACCGATGATGCGTGGAAACTTTGTCTAAAGTCTCTGGGACCCTCCGTTGGCAGCATCTGAATTTTCGAGGGGAGTTTCGATGAAGTTTTCATTTGTTCACGGCCAGTTTTTGCTAAAATTTTCTTGTATAATAATGGACAACGAAACATATGTGCTCGAAGACTTTCAACAGCTTCCGGGTTTGGCTTTTTATACTGTCGGAGACGAGCCAGCCAACGGCTGAAAGTCTCCTTAATAAAGATATAAAAAAAAAAAAAAAAATTTATACTGCAATGCAAAGAAATGCCGTTGCCGAGTGTTTCCGGACAAAGAAACTTTCGAAATTCGCCAAAAAGTATTTGGTTTGGCAGGCCATATGTATGTAGTTGGGGCCGGAAATCCAAAATAATGCACAAGAGGTCAAATACGTGCTAAAAACAGCCAAACTGTCCAGAACTTCGACCAATAGAAAGGTATTGGGCTCTGGTTAAGCGGAAACTATTCGAAACTATTCGAAATTAGTTCTTTTTTTAAACGGGGGTCATGTACAATCCTCTGCCAAGCAGGAGAGTTGCTGAAGCCACCACCATTGGTGGTGTCAGCACTGTACGACACGTATGCGATAAAAAAATTATGTGAATAATCATTAATGAAACTTGAATTTTTCATGATGAGCTTGCCCAATTAAAAAATTAATGTAATTAATATTTAATTCCTACATGTAAGTGCTTGCTGAACATTTATCACGATTATTTTGCCGCGCAACAAATCAAACATCTATGTGGACAGAGCATAATTTCTCAATGTTTGCATCAGCTGTCTTAGATTGGCAGATCATCGAACCAAAGAACCAACAACTTTGGCTTCAAGCAAAATGTTTTTTTACTAGTTCGTTTATTTACTAGGCTCAGTTGTGTGTGACACTTTGTGGAGTCAAAAATCAGTAATGTTTGAATTTACATTTTAAACAGCAGTAGTTCTAGGTTAGTATTGGGTACCAATTACTCGTGGCGGGCTCAAGGTTAATGGGTAACAATTTCGATTGGAAGGAGCTAGGTAGGAAACAGGTTTGTGAAGCCTTCTTCAGATACTACTCTCGAACGTCGGACGAATTGGTGGCTGGGCAGGGTCAAGTAGCACAGAAACCGGTGGTTAATAAGACTGGGACACAATGGCTGGAAAATTTGTAGAAAGGAGCGGATGGTCACATCAAATTCTAACATCAGACAAACAAAGGAATTCGTAGATCGCCTGCACGTAGGGAAAATCACGGGTTCCCAATACATCTCTTACTTCACGAAAGGGTTGTCTAACTCGGGTCACTAGGGTATCCAACAGTCGTGCTCTGGTCTGGAGGCGTCATTACCCGGGCAATACCAAACCAAAGATGAATACTAAGATGAAACTGTCGGAAGAAAAACTTTCTATTTTAGTGTCTTCTTTCACGGTCCCTTTCATCCAATGAGAACCCCCCGTATTCAAGGTAATGTTGTGGTTTTGCTGCCCCCTCGGAAGAGATGAAATTTTGCGCTCATTTTTATCAAAACAATCTCACCAAAATCAGAGATGTCCCATTTTTTAATTATCGATTAACAACTAATCGATTATTTTTTGTTAGCTGTGCTGCCATTTTTCCACCAGAGAGAGTGCAGCACATGTTTGAAACAATCGCTGACGATCCTGTGGAGATGTTAATGCTTTTATCGGCATGATCTAACCGATTATAAATAGTTTACTTTTCGGTTCGTTAATCGATTAAATGATTATTCGAATGAAAATCGGACATCACTAGATGAATGTGAAACGTCATTTCAAATATAAGGCCGTTCATAAATAATGATACAATTTGAAAGGGACCGGGGCTAATCACAAATTACGTCTCCATGGTAACTGAAATAAACACGAGTGTTCACCGGTTGACCAAACTGTGTGATCGATGTTATCATAACCGATTCTACACCTATGTACATATATTGCTGTTAACGAGGTTTATTCTGTAGAGATGTGCGTCTAGCGAGTAGTGGTTGGACGTAAGTCTTGACATCACGCGAATGAAGCCCCGACTTACATCCACACCTTTGAACCACGCTCTTTAAAAAACATTTGGAATAATGGAATGTATCCACCGCCCAAGAGAATTACTTGTCCAATCGTTTTGCTAAATGTTAGTGAATGACGTTTCTGCCACTGGAGTGGTTATGTACCGTGTAAAACAAAACCTGTCAAGATTTTGATTTTTCAAATGCTTAAATATTTAAAAAAAAAATAAATGTTGATGCCAGTCCTAATATTAGCATTTTTGGGTTCATATACCAGGGTGGCCAGCGAACCAGAAAAACCGGAAAATAATCGGGAATTCGAAAAATATTCGATTTTTTTGTATCTGTTCCAAGTTTGATCATGATGTCAGACATTGGGAAAAAATGTGAAAACTAAATCTTAACTGAAAATTTTCCTGGAATTTTTTAAGGTTCGAAATCAAAATTACAATGGAATTCTTTTCAGTATTCCCCTGATATTAATCGCCGAACTACCTTAGATGCTATTTTTTTAACCTTACCAGAAAACTCTCCTTGTAATTACCTTGGAATTCCCTTGAAACTCTTCTAACTCTGCTTTTTTTCGGTATTTTTGATAGATAGTGGCAAGATGAAAATAAAAAATTATGTCGGTGATCGGAGGTGAACCCGGCAGCTCAAATGTTATACTCATACTTCAGCATGTAAGATGTAGAACAAAAATTTAGATGTGTTTATTTACATCGACTGATACTGAGTTGTAGCAGTACAAGCTCATATCGTCGATAATAAACGATTATTGTGTATTTGAGAACGCTTGGTTTGAAAAATGGTTAAATGGTTTGAAAGCTATTTATCTGACAGAACAAAAAGGACTGTTTTTAATGATTTTGTTTCTTGTCCCGTTGACAATGACCTTGGACTGCCTCATGGAAGTGTATTAGGGCCCCTTTTATTTATTATGTATATTAATGACATGCGACGAGTTTTACAGTTTTGTGATATTAATCTTTTTGCTGACGATACTGTCTTATTTATTGCAGCTAAAGATTTAGAAGAAGCCGTTTCACGCTTGAATGAAGATTTACGTTCTCTAAGTAGATGGTTGAAGTATAAACAATTGAAATTGAATATAAGTAAAAGTAAATTCATGGTAATTTCGCGGAATCGTGTAGATGATGATGTCTTTGTTGTTATTGATGATGAGACAATTGATCGCGTTCAGGAAACTAAATATCTTGGCGTGATTATTGATGACAAACTCAAGTTCAATTCTCATATTGACAATGTCATCAAGAAAATTGCCACGATTTAACTATCGGTAGTCAAATACAGTTATACAAATCAATCATCTCCCCTCATCTAGACTTTTGCCCTTCCATTTTATTTTTGGCCAATGAAACACAAATATCGGGATTACAGCGTTTGCAGAATAAAGTAATGCGTTTGATTTTAAGATGTAATCGATTCACTTCCTCAACTTTTATGCTGGACGCTTTGCAATGGCTGTCAGTGAAGCAAAGAATTGTGTTTTTGACTATGGTGTTCATTTTTAAAGTAGTTAACGGTTTGCTGCCGCGATATTTGTGTGATCGGATTGAAAGAGGAAGTGATTTTCATAGATATAACACTAGAAACGCGGATGCCTAGACACATCAAGCGTGCAACTACACTTACAGAATTCAAGAGACGCTGCATTTCACATGTAAAAGCTGTTTATTGAGCAGTTAAATTTTTATGAATGGATAAATCATGTATCTTGACAAAGTTATCACTAACGGACTATTTTGTATGGAGACTGTTATAAAGACATTTTAGTAATTTGTGTAGCATATACAAAAAACTACATTGTTTGCCCCGATGGTGATGATGGATTTTTAGTTTTTTTGATTTTGTAGTAGTAATAGTAAAAATAGCTTTGAGTAGTCTACAATGGTTTGAGCCTCGCACGCGGAATACAGGTATAAATGACTAATACGTGGAAATTGTGGCAAAAGCCTTGAATTAGTAAAGGATTGGCTGGAAGTCGTTTCCTTGGATATAGTCCTGGCACTGCGGAAGCTTAAACGTGTAAATCCCAGGTCACATGTAAATGGAAGTTTTGTCGAGGACTATACTTGGACTTTTGATAACTAGTTACACCTTTAAATGTTTTTAGTTGATGCCTATAGCATATTTAACAGGACATTTATATCTGTAATTGTAACCAGCTCGATTTTGTTTGCAAACCTGGTTAAAATGTTCAATTTAATTATCTTAAAGATAACTCGTCCAGCTCAAACCTTTGTAGGGGTAAGAGGTGGGACCATCATCATTAAAAAAAAATTGTGGGTTCGAATCCCACGGGTGCCCTTAAGGGGTTACGCCTACCTGCAAACTTTCAAAAAATCGATTTTTTTTATTGTCCTAATCGAAAGTATATAAAGTCAAGAATATTTCCTCAAAAGATCAAGTTGATCCGATGAAAATTGTGAAAGTTATGCGACGTACAAAAATATTCACTTATAGTGGACTAAACCCAACTTGAAACTTTAAACGCGATTATCTTGGAATCATATTTTCAAAACCGGTGCCAAAAATTTCTCGAAATGTATACATTCGATTCGTCCGATTCGTTTTGATTTCTGTTCAGTACTATTTTGTGCAGTCCACGATCGTTCGGATTTCGCCTATCATTTAATTTCGATTTTTTACAGCCGATCAAAGACAAATTTTAAGGATCAAAAATCGGCACTCCAACTTTGCAAAGCCGCCATTTTGTCAAAAAAAATTAAAAAAAAACCGAACGATCAAGGACTAGTTTAACACATGCTTAACGATTTGGCATGGTTTTTTTTTTTTTTTTATTTCAGATGATTACATCACAAACCGCAGTTGGCAACGCAAAAAGCGTTTTTTAGAACATCGTCCACGGGGAGCAGCCGTGCGGGGCACCAGTACCTCGTTTTTACAGCATCGACTGATAAATGTACCATTTAATGTGTGTTCAATAAACGGCAGAAAACCGATTTTCAATATGTTGCGTCGTTTTCGAGAGAAAAAAAATCCAAACTTTCGCTTTTTTTCGGTCTTGCAGGTAGGCGTAACCCCTTAATTTTTTTCGCAAATTTTCTCACACACACGTCTTATACCGATGATATGTGCTTACCTCTCAGTATGTTCAAACTTTCTCATAAACTATAAAATTATGGATTATTTTTTTCTATTTGAAAAAAACAAACTGACTGTTTCATCGTGCGCAACAGAATGATGTCAAGAGAAGTCCAGCAGTTTCTTTCTTTAGGGAAAAAAGTATCTCGTCCCATCTCCACGATCGTCCAGATTGTTTGTGCTGCGTATCGAAAATTAAAAAAAAAAATCTGATTTGGTGTACATATTTAGAATATTTGAATTAATTTAAGGAATACTATTAAATGATACTACTACACTGACTATAATCGCATATCAGTCCCATATGGAAAAAAAGTAGGCATTGTGAAAATGGCAATCGAAGTTACGAAGAGCAATTATCATGTATTCTCATGTATGTAAAAATTATTATGATCTCGAACTCGAAAAAATCCAGACACATTAAAAACGGTGCCAGTAGGCATTTTTCGAGTATTTTTTTTCAAAATTTCACTGAATCAAGTTAAGAGTGTATAGAATCACAGTAGGCACTGGTTGTCAGGATAGGTTCATTTGTTTACATCATGGCTTCACCGGAACAAGCACGTTGCGATTCGATCCTGCACGCTCGAAACGAAAATCCCGGTCTATCCGCTCCTGGTAGTTATCGATCAAATTCCTGAGCAAGAATTTCATACCTTGGTTGACCGGAAGAATGTAAAATAAAAAAAGTCGAAATTCCCCAAAAAGTTCCTTGTCTGGCAAACAATCTTCAGTTGTGGGCTGAATAGCAAAACTTTCTGCTTTTTCTGGAACAGCATGAGGTCTAGATTGCCTATTCTGGCCGGACTTGGCAAGCTGCCACTACTAAAATTCCACCAAACAGTGGTACAGCGAAAATGGCCTCACAGTGGTTCCCAAGCAGATTAATCCGGCCATTTGAGGAATACTGAAATATTTCAAGCAGAAATAGAATTTGGCAGCCAAACAAGTGGGAACAGGGCTCGTACATAAGATGATGGACCGTGTACGAAGAAAAGTTCGATCAATGGCCTATGGTAAGAAGGAAGACTGGAACAATTGTCTTACAATAAGAATAATACCTACTAATGTATAGCTGTTACATTGAACTATGAAAAATAAAATGCATTTTTAAACCCCAACAATGAACGAACACAATCCATCTCGTAATTCCAAGTCAACAATGCGGTCGTAGGACCCCTAATATCCTTTTTTGTGTTTGATGTACTAGATAATTTGAAGATAGTAGTCCCTACTCTGAAAAGTCACAACATTATGCACTCCTCTTATATATATTTTTTTCTTTGTCTATTTCTTCATTTTTCCCGCAGCTCGGTTTATGCTGACTCTGGATTCAGTAGTGACTTTGCAATGGAGGACGATGAATGCTACTAAAAGGAAAGAAAGAAGAAAAAACAGTAACGCAACAGCAACTCTTTCCAGCAGTATTTGGTAGGGTTCTGGCGGATTTATTTATATTTTCAACTATTTACGCAATTTGTTTATTAGATCACTTTTTTTATTAAGGGGCAGGATATTTTTCGTGTTACTATTTAGGGGCTTTCCGTTACATGTAGAAATTTGACATACAATTTTTATTTCACGACTTTTTTTTGCTACATCATGTCACATCAGAAAAGGTTTGTTTTTCTTCTAGGATCGTTCGTTTAGTAAGTGACCCGATTATTATCTTCAGTGTTAGAAACATTAACTTGCATCAACAAACCTTGAAATACTTGAAAAATTGTGAAGCTAAACAGTAATAATCAACTTAACTAACAAGTTTGTCCCCTTTACTACAGAATACATAGTACTAAGACCAAATGAAATGAAATATGTTATTGATAAAAAAAAATAGCTTGAAAAAAAGCGAAAATACATTTTGAACAATTTTTTGTAACACACCACACAGCACAGCACCGTTACGTGAAGGCAGGTGAGAGCTGCGAAGTGAGAATTGACGTAACCGTGAGTGCGCGATGCCGGCAATGTGTAGCCAACTGGAACAGCAAACAAAGGGTTTTCTAGATATTTAAGGGCATACCTATGATGCGAGCATACACTCAACGGACTCTCTGGTAGAAACGCTCGCACGCAATATCCGTACGATGATGGTATGAAAAACTATGACTGTTAAAACTACCCAGGCCAGAGATACGTACATACATACATACACGACTATTACTAAATAGACAAACGACGTTTGCTAGACTGCAGTGGAGCGAAATTTAGATGCTTTTCAGGAACTTAGCATAAAACAGAACAAATATAAAACATGAAAAATGAAACACAAAAAAAATCATACTAGACGTAAGCGTGAAAGATATTCGATATGATGCACCTGAAAGATTGCTAAATTCCGTCCCAGCCTGCAGTCGCCAGTTGGTGAGATTGCCCCTGTTTTTGGTGGCTAACGAGTTGCTTTTCTTGTGCCAAACGGATTCGGGCGGTTGGAGAAGGAGACAGTTAAATTTGAGACAAATTAATCTGCGGTAAAAATATAGCAAATTCAAACAAAAAAAAATATACACAGAAAAGCTTCACCCTAGGAGGATGAAAGGTCACCGAAGACCGAATCGCTCCTAGCGTGGATATTCGTTGGTCACCATCAACAGTATTCTAGTACACTCAGTAGGATAGGGCGGTAAGATCTTTGTCGTCCGTCACCGAACCGCGGTGGCAGAGCCGCATGTGAGAACTATTTTATTGACTGTACTCTGTGATATTAGTTTGTAAGGAAAACCAGTAAAAGAGGCAACAATTCTATATTAGCCTGGTAAATGTACTTTTAAGAAGTTTTTGCGATTTAACTGAATGTGAATTTTCTCTATTTTTTTTTTTTTTTATTTCCCCAAGCAATTTTTTTAATAAACCTTACAGTGAACTAATATTGGTTTGATCCTCCGACGGTGGTGAACCAGAACTAGCGAGAGTGTTTCATTACTCCGAGAAAGGGGGGAAGCGAGGACATCACTCATTTTAACGTCATCATCATCAATTGCTGAAGTACAAATTACATGTTGTGATAAGTAGCTTTAGAAATTATTTGTCAAGGGTGTCCTCGGGTTCGGTTTGATAGCCTCCATCTGCTGTCCGTATCATGCGGATGTCTGGACGATCATCTTTGTTTTGCATATTCATTGTTTTTTTTAAGTATCTGACGACTAGAGATTTTATTCAGGAATAAGGTTTGTATCACAGAAAACTGTCATACACGGAATACATCGTAGATTTTATTTTACCAAAATGATTTCTACGCAGTTAGGTTCTGGTTCTCGTCAAATGAGGGCTTAGAGAAGAAAAAAACAAAAAAAAAAGTATCCTGATGAATGTGGAATACCTGTATAAAGAAAGAGATAGAAGGATTAGTAATTTCCATTTAATTCCACTACTTTAATTGCTTATCCTTGACAGATACGCGTATTTCGTCTACAATGTGCAGACTTCTTCAGTGTCTTGTACTAATACTCGACTGGTAGAGGAATTAAATGGAAATTACTAATCCTTCTCTCTCTCTCTCTCTTTATATATATATCAAAAAGAAGTTATTTGTCGAAGAAAGCAATTCTCGGCCAAATGCTCTAGTTCTCTTGGTTGAAAAATAGTCCCAAAAGGTACAGTGTACAGATTTACTGTGAAGCAGTCTCTATTCCCATGAGCTAGGAAAGCCACATATGAGATAATATCGTTTAGGCGTCATTAATATGATCGGCACAGATGGATTTGCACAACGGTTTCTGGTTCACACCTAGTAAAAAATGCTTTAATTTTTGCCTATTTTCAGTTACTTTTAAAAGTTAGAAAACCGCAAGTTTAAAATCTCGATACCAGCGGTATGAATCATTTTTGTCTTAGTCTAAGAATTTCAGTATAAAAATTCAACTGAAACCACACCATGAGAGCAACAGAGTGCACTAGCCTCATGCAAGCCAACACACAGCATAAAGCAACCCTCGCAAAAACTACCATACGATACCAATAGCAGTCCGAGACGTTCAAAGCCTTTCAGAGTCATATTCAGCAACATGCAGGCATGAGTCACATGCCGCTGTATTACCCCTAAACCAACCGGTCCACCACCAAAACCATCAGCGCTGTTGATACATGTCTGCACGCGAGTGTGGCACGTTTTTTCTACGACTGGAAGCAATGCCGACAACCTAGCAGCTAACAGAAAGTGCTTTATCGATACACGAAGCACCATCATGCGCCGGTCAACCACACCGGTTTACGATTTCACTTTTTTTGCGTTATCATATAAACATCCAAGTAAGCTGAATTTGCTTTTCAAAACTCAACGCCTACTGTTTCTTATATCGTCCGGATTGCCAACTGTAGCAGTAAAATTAATATCGTACACCAATCCTAAACACAATATGATCTCATATTTCTATTGTAAACCTAAATAGAAACACGCGCACGATCCCATCGTGAGAGGCACACGTGAGAATGGTTGTGTCTGTCGCAACGAACGGGAAAAAAACCATAACCGTTCCATCGGTTGGTATAAATGACTCAAGTCATCATAAATACGTACCTGCACAATAATCTCGGGACGGGACGAGACGATAAGAAACAGCTTGTTTCCCTGCTGCTGCTGATAAGGACCGGTTATTTTTTAGCAAACAGGGCACCTGTGGGCGAATGTGCAACCTGAATCGTCTCGACTCTCGTTGCTGCATCGGTAGGAAATAGTCCACGGCATGAACTCATTTAAATGTATCTTCCCAGGTCCAAAAAGCTCCCATGCTGAGGTCTGATGTCATTCAAATTGCGACCATTGGCACTATTCAATTGAAAAGCGTTGTTTGCGTGTTGGCTACATTTTAAAGTTTTAAATTTTAGTGACTAACTTTTTTTGTTTGGTATTGCATAACATATATTTAAAAAGAAAACAACCAAGATCTATATTTTAGCGACGTAAAGAATAGTAACTTCAATGTGCACACACACACACACACCCCGACCATCATTACGGGAAGGGGGGTAAATTTTGATCATAGAAAAGTTATCGAAACAGTTATGTATAGCATTAACAAAATGATGTTGAATGAAAAAAGCTAAATATAAACAGAAAACATTAGTAAACATACCTTGTTGTTTTAAATGATAAAGAAAATAATTCTCTTTGATTCGATTGCATCTTTTTACTGGAAAAATTACACATCATATTACTGAAAATTTAAGAGATAATAAAAAGTAAATAGGAAAAGCATATTCGCAGCTACGTTTAAATATGATGATTATATCACATCCTTTCTGCGGCTTCTGGTTGATCTGTAGGTTTCTGCGCTATTACGCCGAACGGAGTTCATTTCCATAGTATGTCTGAAGAACAATAAAGACAAAATGCAGCAACTAGCTATTTCCCTTAAATATGCACGATGACCAAGAATCGACAGCAACCGATAATCGTCTAAAATCTTAACAATTTCCCTAATCGAATGATTCAAGTGAGAATCTTAAAAATATTCACTTCACAAACTTCACTCATTCACGCATGTATCCTGTACACCGCTATATTTATAGTCTGGCGGATAGAATCTCGGGAACGAATTGAGCTATGAAATAGCGGAACCAATCGAGCAAATCACGACCAACAACAAAAAAGAGCGCGAACAAAACTTCAGAAACCATTTTCTCGTGATTCAAGGCTCGCCTACTCAAACTAACATCATCTTTGGGTCGGGGAACGTTTCCCTAACCCGATGATGCTGGTAATTTGCGTTCGATTGGCGAACAAATCGAATAATCAACGTTTTGTTTATAAAATTTGATAGTACCTTTTCAATTGTTGGTATACAATATATTGAATTGATTGATAGATCGAAATTCTATCCACTATCTAGTGCTACATAGGGCCAACGTGAAAGATGTCCATCCTGGGCTGCTGCTCGCTTTAGCCTTGACCTAGACCCAGATCAGGTTCCTGTCGACTTCGTTGTAAATGTAAGCTCTTCCCAAAACCAAATAAAGCACTAGGCATCGCCTGTGATCGGTGAACCAATGGCCGCTCCGGCACCGTATTCGTCTTGATTCTATCAGTGACCAACGTACTCGATCCGTTCGACCAGCACCGTGGACGTCCAGGAGAATGGCAAAGCTACAGTGGAAGAAAAGAAGCCCTGCAACGCAGTGCGGTTAGCTTCATAAGCGCCCATTACACATGTCAATATATTGACAATAAATTGACATACTGACAATATTATTGAAAAGGTGATATTGATGATGATGATTGATGACAAGTATTGACGAAAAGCTGATTTTCATTTCACTTTGTCAATACTCAGAATATATTGACAAAAAAAAACAGTCAATTCTATCAATATCATCAATATACGAATATTGACAACATCAATGGCTATACGTTTGAAGCCTTTTAACCTCAATGTATTAAAGTCAATATTACTTGTCTTAATTTCCCCACACAAGAAACATGGATCAGCGGCTCAAAAGAGAAACGTCCTTACTGGACCTATGCACTGAAAAAGTTTTCATATAGTTTCCATTGTGAACGCACATGATATTTTTCCAATAACAAAATTAATGATTTTTTATCTGAAATTCAAATAACGTTCATACGATCACATGAATTGTATATGACAAATCACATAAACTTCATTGGACACATAAGGTTCATGTGGTTTTGTGATGCGATTCCCAATTATGAGATCACATGAAAGTTAAGTGAAATTCTAATGGATATTTTCCATTGGAAATGTGATTTATTTTTTGAGTGTGGAAAATACTAACTACACACTGAATTCGGATAACCTGAGTCGGTAAAATTTTACCCGGTTTTTGAACTACTGAAAAAGTCGGTAAAATTTCAAATTACCATCACTCGTAAGAAAACAATAAAATCGACACATTATCATTGAACGGTTTTAAATAGGTCCGTACAATTTCGTAATAAATTTCAAAATTGTTGAATTGGTTGGTACTACACCTAAATAGTTTTCATGTACTTTCCATTGGAAACGCAAATGATTTTCATCCATAAACAAAATTAATGGAATTCATCTGAATTTCACATAACATTTATGCGATCACGTTAATTTTATATGATTTTTCATATGAATTTCATCGGCCTCATAATATTCATGTGATTTTGTGGTGGGATTTTTATCTATGTGAACACATGAAAGCTATGTGAAATTCACATGGTTTTCATCCATTAGATATGTGATAAATTGTTTGAGTGTAGAAATACTCAGAGGAAGAGATGGGCGGAGAAAATGTTTTGAGCCAAATGAACTGTCAAAATCTGAGCCAATCGAACATTCCCATTAGAATTTTTCCGAGGATTTCTTATTCTTTCTAGAATAAATTTGAAAGTATTGCAATCGAACAGAAATTCAATCCCCTTTATGTTTTGTGTGCTTCTCAAATTCAACTAGGTTTTGGAACCAAAAACAATACAAAATGATCTTCGTTGGTTAATGAATGGCACCAAGAAATGTGCAAAATATTGCGATGCAATCAATTATTATTTTGCATGTAAATCGAATCAAAAATAAAAGTCATTTGAAATGCTAGCTTCTAGCAAGGGTTGCAAGATAATTAAGGAACAAATCCTTGCTGCCGTATTGTATTTTGTTTTCTCCGCCTATCACACCCTCTGAGCATTTCTAGTTGGTACTATCCTTTCACTCCACTGAAAGTTCCAATGGGCCGTATGAATAAAAAGACTTTACTTTACTTTCCCGTGCTTTTCTTACGGGAAAAGTAAAGTAAACGCTTTTATTCATACGACCTAATAAGAAACTGTCAATGTTTGTTAGAAGATATGATTTCTCGACGGTTCCGTCAACGCCAATATCAAATGTTGTAACTTTTTGACAGGACACAGAAAATACACAGGACAACATGATAACAAATTAATGGAATTGAATCAAATCGATTGTCGACTGCGTGGAATTACCACTCGTGTTGAATAACCCACGTTCATGGTATGCAGTTTCCCATAAATAAACTATTATGCTGATGTTTTGGTAAACATTCCTAAAGGAAAAACTTGCATATATTATTGAATTTGCGTTACATGTGAAACGCAGATAGTATTAATTTTATTTTAAAGTAAAAAAAAACAAAATTACATGATTATGCTTGTGATTTTGTAGAACATGAACATCGATATAGACGAAGCCTGGGTAGTGATTGGCGACTGTAAAAGGAAACTTTTTTTATTTAGTTTGATATCCATTTTATATCACACACGAAGATTTAAACAAAATGCCAACACTGCATGCGTGAAGGTGCATTGTGAGTCAGTCGGTCTAAATGACGTACGTTCTCCCTCCTCTTGGGTGGGGGAAGAATATTGAGAAAGTGAAATGAAAATCAGTTTTCAACAATACTCGTCATCAAACCATCGTCATCAATAATATTGTCAGTATGTCAATTTTTTGTCAATATATTGACCTGAGTAACAAACGCTTTAGTGTATTGTCATTAATGTTGTCAATATTTATATATTGATTATATTGTAAGGAAAATTGACAATACGATGTTTGTCAATATATTGACATATGTAATGGGCGCTATACGTGTGGTTTTCTGCATGCATCATCACTTACTTCACGGTGAAGGTTTCTTTCCGGATGCTTTTGACCGGTTCCTTTTGGCCGACTAATCGTCTGTCGTAATTCCTCCAAACGCCGGATATTTGCTGTCTGCTGCAAATACACACGTGAACAGAACCAACTTAACGGTGCTAATTACCTTGTGGCCGAGTTTCTCTGTCGATTCGATACACCTATGTGCTTTGCCTCCTTGGGTCAATCTTCCGATCGTACTGGTGGGCGGATGTTGTCACGTGTCTGTTGAAGGTCATCGAATGGTCAACGGGCTTAGTGAGAGAGTGATTTATGGGTTAATTTACATCTCGGTGGAATTCAGTGGATCCGGCTGATCAACACTTGCTCTGGCGGTTGCTGTGAGCGTAACGTGCCGGCTGTGAAAACCGCAAAAGTTTCAGTATCAATCAACTGGATGCACGGTCATCGAATGCGAGGAAATTACCTGTTCCTGCTGGTTAGAAAAATCCTCTTCCTGCGTTGCCGTCAGCGATGGACGTGACGTATCCGATGGTGCTGTAGTTGGTCCTGCGTTTGTCTGACAAGGACGACGGTTTCACAAAATGCTTTGACTTGCACTCGCGCCGTTCACTTCACTGATCGGAGTGGTCTTTCAGCGGCAGGTGATCCGGCAATCTCGCTCCCAAATTCTCACACGTGCCGTCACTTTTTACGTGGATGGAGTGCCGGAGAATCACTGCGACTAACCAAACCGAAATGATGTCTTGCCTGTGCTATGTCAGTCTTCGCCGTCTTCGCCAAGCGGAAATCGTTCGGAACTGTCAACAGGACGGCAGCAACAGGCAGCGAATCTCCCTTTCTTGCATTTTCTTGCAAATGTGTTACTGGCTGCGTTGTACCCTACCCTTGGCTAGTTTTTAACCTGGACGTTGGTGGGCGGGCCTAATATTATGCTTCATAGTGGAGCGTTCGAGACGGTTGGTTTAGGTCCGGCATCGTTGGCTCATGGCGTCATAAGCATGCGATGAGGATTACTGAGCTTCCCCTTTCTGATGAACCATTGCATAAGAGAACCAAAGTTCTAGCCTGAAGTGGTAGTATCACACTTGTTACTCCTTTATTTAAAAGCCGCGTTGTAGTACGCTTACGTATAGGCACTGACGTTGGGTGCGATACTGGCGGGTTTTGCAGCAAATCACTCTTATTTTGTTTATTTTTACGCAGATAGATTTATTTGGGTTTGCAAGGGAATTATACTATTGAAATATTTCAGAAAGTGCCCAACGGTGCTCCTTCTATTTGCGTGACAAGGTTTCATTGTTGTTTTCATTGAAGCATTACTCAGGGAACAATATTAAATACCACCATGGTATGAAATGTGTTACTGGCTGCGTTCTATTTGTTTATCTTGGCTACACGGTAACTGATAATTACTTATTATGTTGTTTGCTCATGCTACTAACTAACGTAACTGTAACATCCTTTATTTCCTTGTTTGGGGAGGCCCTGCCATGAACCCGTGGGTATGCCTCTGCTGCGATTTCCTGCCAGATTCCAAGTCAGAGTTTTCCTGTTGATTTCGTTTCCGTCCCTTCGTAGTGGGTGACCGACCCACCTCCACTTACATTCTCGAATTACTGTTGATATCGGTTTCAGATTACATCGACGATGGAGC